GCGTCAGCCAGCCGAAGGCCGTCGAAGGGACCGGCGCCAGCGCCGCGGCCGGAGCCGAGCAGACGGCTCTGCCCTGAGCAGGGGCCAGGCAGCGGCTGTGTGGATGCTGTGTGAGGACTCGCAGGAGGCAGCATCCCCTGGAACCCCATTTGGCAGGGTGGGGGATCGTTATCCCCACATGCACTTAATTATTAACTCCCTCAGGGTTTTTTTTTCTTGCTGTAAAAATGCAGATTCCCCAAGAGTGCAGCATTTCACAGAAATTTGCCACTTCCAGCACAACTCCATTTTTTAAAAATGAAGTTCTGATAAGGCAGCTGGGGAGTTCTCAGAACATCCATTGTCTTTCCTATTTCAGGGTTTTTTTAAAACATCATAGATTTTTAGAAATAAAATCGGAGGGGCTGCTTCAATCCAAAACAAATGTTTGGGTTTTTTCCCTCCCAAAATTCTGCTTGGCAGAATTTTCCAGTGTTCCTCGTCTCACTCCATTTCAGAGTAACTGAACCCAACTGAAGCATTTCTCACGAAATGGAAGAACACGGCCCCGCCGAGGTAACCGCAGCCTTTCCAGGACACACGAGGAGTTTTGCCCCTTGCTGGGCCGTGCCACTTCCCAGCGCCACAGCAATCGTGGGATGGCTCTCAGTGCCTAAGCTCAGCTGGGCTCTGTGGGTACAGCAGCAAAGCAGCGGCTTGTCTGCAGCCTGAAGCAGAGGGAGACAGAGCCAGCGAGTGGGTGGGGGTCCGGGACCCTGCCTGGCGAGGTGCTCGCTCAGCTGTCGGTGCCCTTCACCCTGCTCCCCTTCCACTTTCTCCAGCTGATAATGTTTGCTCTGATCTGGGTATTTGGCAGGAGAATTAACGAGCAGTAATTAGCTGACAGTGTGAAAGAGGGAGTGCCTGGTGTTTATCTTGTCTGGAGGGTTTTCCTGGATCCCGGTCTCCCAGGGGATGGTGTTAGCTGCCCGCTCGCCCCTCGCAGAGGCAGCGTGTCCCC